GATAGAGTAGTTATACAGTGGTATAGGCAACGGCGAGTTCGTTTACGATACCCTGCGGACGAGTAGTTTTTTTTGCCCGAAATGTATTTTCTGTTGGTCGGGTGTGTTTGTCTTTTTTTAACTAGACAGAAATCGATGACAAAAGAATGTTCAAAGTGAAATTTCTGCGAGGTACAACCGCGTTCGGCGTTATGTCTACACTTGCGATGTATATCATGACAAAGAAGATGATGCTTTACGGTACCAAGGTGATGCAATTTTTGCCACTGCTCTGATTAAGTGGACTACCGTTACGCAAGATGATGAGTGTTGCTATCAGGATGAGATTTTCGTCAATGCTCTATCACCGTACAATAATATTTTTTCTATTATATTAGCAATCGTATTACTTCAAGGATACGTCCTTAGTATCTGCTGCTATTGCCGATTTTGAACATTCTAGCAAGCCTTCACAATTACGGGCCTTGCGTTATGTTAGGTGTTAACTAGTAAGTGCCCGGTTTAGAATGCTCACATGAGACTGGTCAGCGATGGAAGTAGATCAATCGCGTCTCGTAATAGCGTTAAAAGACGAAAGGTGACCGTATCTATAAATTGATGATCGCATCACCTTGAGAACAAAGCACGCTCGACGGTGCGTCATTGAGTGCCTGTTTAAGATCGGTTGGCCATTGTACAATACGTTCATTTAGAAGATGATTATATATATATATATATATATATATAACTACAAATAATAGGTTTCACCTAGTTACCATTCCGTTGTCGATGGTTGTGAGTAACGACCATAGCCGAAGGATCATGTTCGTCCCTCGGGACTCGTACAAATCGAGAACGATATGTATATATAAACTATCAGTAATAACACTACATACAGTTAATTACTCACAATTGTTAAACTAACGAAGATTAGAAGAATAATATAAACAATAAGAAAAATAGTATTGCAATAGTGTACTTGTGACTAGCTGAATCGGAGGTTGAACGTAAGGAGTACTGGTCCTTTCCTAATCGGAGATCGTCGGCTACGATAGGATCGACCGTTATTAATGCTTTCTATTTGACTTTTTAGTGCTACATGCAATAATATATAGGGTATTTATGTGTTTCAAATTTAACCATTACGACGCCATTAATTGACTAGGAGGAAGTGCTAAAGGTTGCGGATGTTCGATAAGGTTGATTGCCTAATAGGCACAGACATGATACAACGATATCTACGATAAAGTAATTAAGTCTTATCACATACAGATGCATCTTGGAGGAACCTTCTACATGTAACACAACTATTCAACAAAACTGGTAACGATATTCCGATAGAGTTCAATGGAACAACACAATGGAAAATGAGCTGCTGTCGCAATAGCTCATCCATCGATGCAGGTGTCTATTAGAACGCCTAATTTTACTTATAAAACATTGTTTAGGTATTGTAACGTCACCTCTTGCCAATTTTCATAGCTGGAATTGCGAACAAACAAATAGATTCTTCACCGGTTTATCCAACGCCACGTAAAGGGCAGGTCAATGCACTATCGGAAACTGATCTGAATATATGCCTGCCGTTTATTTGACCGAAGCGTCCGCTACTGCGGTGGCTATTGAATCATTGTTGTTTTTGAATATCCGCTGGTCCGACTATCCGATAAGATACCCAGACACGCGCATAATAAACGTGTAAGCAGTGCGCCACCGTTCCATCCTTCTTCGTTACAACGCGTTCATGAGTCACCTTATCTAAGCTGCTATCGTCACAGCGGCACCACCGCAATACAGACTGAAGAAACTTGTGTGCCCTATAAAACCGTACAGGGTCGTATTGTACTTACATTCGTCGCTGTTACAATTTAAGTACGTAGAAAACTTGAATGGGAACTCCCGTTACGAGGATTTCCATTGTCTGTCATCGATGTCGTTATAGAAATCAACATCGCTTCCTTCCTTCCTTCCTTCCTTCCTTTCTTTCTTTCTTTCTTTCTATGGATCCGACCATTATTGAGACGAGTTTGGACCATTCGTTCTAGCCATTGTACTGGCGGTGCAGGGCAGACATTTTACTGTATATACGTACAATACGGCGTCAAACGAAACAACGGGTTCTCATCTGACGTGCGTATGGAGCGTCATCTCGCTTACTTATTACGATAGTATAGTATATATAATAATTATTGATAATTGCAGACTACGGCTTTTCATGCGTGCACAGCTGAACGTTGGGCGGCTTCACGCTGAATAGATTGGACCTGATGACGATGCCAGCAATGACGTTTATAATTACGATGCCGACAATAGTGCGTGTTAAACTGTCGCCTTCACTCACGCATAAATTACCGCTCGTGGTAGCCCGTAACCCGCCACCCGTAGCATCGTATGATAAAGTATTATTTATTGGTGTGGCCGCACCATTCACGACTGGCATTGCTTTTTTTTTTTTTTTTTTTAACACGCTGCTTGACTGCGGAACTACAGCTTTCTCTGAACCACTCAGCGTTAACCCATCGTCTGCCCAAGCCTTCACATACGCGCTGCTCTTTCATCTCTGCGTTGTCAGTGTGATCTAATGTGGAGTGGGCTTCGTGCGACCCGATGAACGTAGTAACTATCGGGGCCGTTCCGATGCGGCTGCCAGTTGCGGGGCCATTGTCGACGTACCGCCAGTCCGACGATATATTGTCGCGCATCGAGCCGCGTATACGTAACATCCATTTGATGTTCCAAGATAGCTGAACTGCTTTGGTGATTTGTTCGACCGAGATGATCATGTTCATTGCCGAGCGCATCGCGGCATCGTTCGACTAGCGCGATGGCAAACGGCCGTGGCAAATTCCGCCGCAACTTCGTCAGGGGGCGATGACTTAATGGCGTTAGTCGAGATGGTGGGAGTAGCCGTCCGCCGAGTGTGGTGGGCTGATGGTGAAGCTAAAACGAAAACGAGTACTCAAGCTATGGCGGGGACATTGCTGATGATGCTGGCTGGGGCGGTGGGCACTTTGTCCGTAAGCAGGGGTTGGCTGGGACAAAGAAAACAGGAAAGCTGCTGCTCGGTATTTGATGCCCACAGCTCGAGCAAGCTTTGCTCCGATCTTCAGCTCGGCTCAGACTTCACTTGACTTAAGACTTTACAAGAAGCAGGCCACGCTCTACGACTGGTTGAAGCTAGTACAGTGTAACATCATTGCACTGTAGCTGCTTTTACGACAAGAGCCGTCATACGTAAACGCGTACCTTTGGTGAAGTTTCGCTTTCTCCAATATGGCTTCATCGGTTAGTTCGACGATTTCCTGGTAGCAGTTAATCTGGAGTCCATACGCGACGAATCAACGACGCCCGCCTACCAACGAAGCTCCTAGCGGTTGCAAAAGACGACGAGGATCTGATTTGATACGACGATTTACTTTTGAAATTTACAAAAAAAAGAGCAACCGACTGTAAAGTGTTTGTTTTGCCCTAGGTCCCTGAATTTATTTTCGTGGTGCTTAGGAACTGTGAGTGCGTGATTTGTACCTCGCCTAATAGAGCCCTACTAGGGGTTCGCTTTTCGAGTCTGAAGTGTCGGTGAAGTACAACGTGAGAAAAGAGCCAGAGCAATGAAACTGCTTGATAAAATACGCCATTTCATGAACATACGGCGAAAGTCGGTTCTACAAGGCCGATTTGAAAAGTAGGCATCGTCTTATTACCTAACCCCGAACCGCTTCTGTCAAGGCACTAGGTGTCTGCGGAACTATGACCTATTATTTATAGGCTTATTTTTTACGTGTCGTCAGTACGTTTGTTCATTCTCAAGCTTCAATTGCCATTATCCAATGACATTAGCTATTCACGTCTAGCCGTTAACGTTCGTTTTTTCAGGAAGAACTTGTCTGCAATATATTATCGATTTTGTATAATAGACACCGTCCGTTTTAATATGAGCGATATTCTGCTCTGTCTGGCGACATTTAATGATCATGATGATGAACGCGCCATTGGGTCCCCTGAACCCCTGAGCTGAGTGCTTGATCATCCATTTCGTATCCCGTCTCCACCAGTAGTATACTTCGTTCTAACTATGCATTATAGATGAGGGAGAAATGGTTTCCATTCGACTATAGCGATATGCCAATTGCTCTTGCTCTGGTGTGACTACTACCAGCCGTGTTTCTTTTATAACAACTTCTTACTGTTTCGCTGCCAGATAATGGTCCAGTATCATTTATAACTAATATCTAAGCATTCCTCGACGTCGGTCATAGTGTTCGTAACGATTTGGAATTACCTTGCGGTTTTCGCCGGCCATCATCGTAGTACCAACGCCCGGTATCGCGAAGTTAGCGGTTGGCGCTTGCGCGCATTTTGTAAATGGCGATGGCATGCAGAATCGTCGCCGCTAATGTTGAATGAGCGATCAAGATGAGGTGCTGATGGTAGTTGTCCTATTCGATGTGCTCAAGTAGCTTAGTCATTGGCGTGGTGGCTAAACTTCACGTATATGCGTGTATTAACAGTGACACCAACTAATGTGAAGAGTTACGTAACAGCATGGCACTTAAGAGATCTGAGCAAATGAAACAGGCAGACTCGCCTGTTTCAACATATATATAGGCAGCACATCATTAGCTGTAATGAAAAATGCTTTTCTAAGGAACAACAATTTCGACAGGGCTGATAAATGAACAGTAGTGGTTTGCCAACGTATATGATGGACCTCGTCTCTGCATTTATGTAGTTTTTCAACAGCTTCACTTTACACAGTTTGGGTAGTCGTTGGCACGACGCATATTTGTGTATCGCCATATCGATACTGCGGCCCTTCGCTGGTCTGCCTATTTATTGGACATCATGCGCGTGGCCTGCAGTGGCACGCAAAAATGTATGGAGTGGCCAGAGTTGATCGCGATATCTTCGTATGCTTACAACCAGATCGACTTGAAAAGCTGCCAATTTCTTCTCTAGTTTTGTGATCGGTAAGATGTTACTGTCCCGCTAACGTTACCACGTAATGTTTCGTTGTTTTTCAGGACCAACCAGATCCGCACTAGCTGTTCTCTAGATTTCCTCAATGAAATCCGTGGACAGAAGAGCGATTCGCTTGGAAGTCAGGTTGCTGTCAACTTCAACCCCGGAGGCATTTTCAATCAGGTCGGTAGCAGGCATCCGATAAAAATAGCTCCCTGACGCTAAAAAATAAACGCTGTGGGCTTTCGATGACAATAAGAGGAAGACGAACGCATAAAAAGTGTCCAATGAAGAGAACTTTAGCTGCTAATCTTCGAAAATCACCATTATTGTTATTTACTACAAAAATGTTAATTAACACCGCATTTATATCGTTACTGATAAACATTTGACCTATATCCTCTAGCAATAGCAACAGTACCCTTTTATCAGGTGTTTATCCTCTACGCTAAATGGGCTAAATTAGACCTTTTATGGTCTATTTGCGTTGGGTTTCATTGTTAGTCCGACGAGGGAGTCTAAAAGTGCCGAAATCGGACCGTTAAGATAACAAGCTGAAGCCCGTAATAATTCGTCTCTGATTCTTCATTGTTTGTGATTAGTTGTACATTTATCAAGCAATAATACATTTCGGTTATTTCAAGTACACCTGAAATTGTGCCCGAAGCAAATTAAAGGAAAAATACTACTACTACTATATAAATAACAATACTCTGCAATAGCATCAACTCAATTTTGCAAACCTATCACTCGATAGGGCAGATAGCATTTGGATAAGCTAAAAAAATACCTGCAATCTTGTACTGTTAAGTCGGAGGGTAAGGAAAAAAGAAAAATTTGTGTGCACTTAGTAGCGCGCAGGCTCTGAATTTAAAATAGAGCCATTTAATGGAAATGGCCATTAAGCAATTTCTTTGTTGCAATTTCAGCGTATTAAACAAAATCCAGACTGATTTTACAGTTTAAATAGTATATGTATTAAATTGTGGAGATTTTTTCCCAAGTGAAATAGGTCTACTTCTAATCGAGCTGCTTAACAGTATATCCGAGCTCGATCAGTGCATAGCTTAAACGCTTGCGTGACTTTATACATGGTAGAACATGCAGTCACAATGTTACTCTAGAAATACATCATTCTTCTTTTGACGATTTAATCCATTACTAAACTATGTTGTTATAGGTAGCGGTCATTTTGATAGCAAACGCTAAATAACAAGGTAGTTCCTCATAGTAACAAAGTAGTGTTTCGGTAGCGGGATTTTAGAAGGATACGTCTGGCAAATGACGCCCACAAACACACACCCACCCATACAGTGGACGTATATATAATACAGTGTGGAAATACGCTGTATTTGTCGTTATAGTTTGTCTAGAGTAAAAATAAAAGCTGAAAAACTATAGGTAATTTACTGTTGAAGCCGGTCGAAGTCAGCACAAATGATATTATGCTAGTTGATATTTGGCCATGACCTATGTCAAGCCGGTCCAGGCGACCTCACTGGCGTATCACTGAATAAAGCTAAGTGAGATGTGGGCACCGAGTAGGAGATTGCCTTTGTCGAACGGAGGCGCTCAAAACGAACAAATGCTGGCTGCTCCTCGAAACGTTTGTTCTTTGCTCATTCCATGCGGTTGGCGACGTTCTATCAAGCGAAACCCCACTGCCTGCCTATATCGCTTACGTACGATCGATCTGTCGATTGAGATACGCCATAATAGTATACGACATTACGATTATGTTTACCGCCATTAAATTTTAAAGATTATTTTTGTACCTGACGACCACCAGTGGACAGTAAAAACCTTCTACATAGGCCAGTGAAGGAGCTGAATAATAATAATAATAATAATTACATGCGACGAGAGCGCTGAATAAAATGAAAACCGTGGTCGGTATAGGTCGGTTGATTCGATTCATACTGTATGAGCAGTTCAAAATCTGCAGAGCTCTTAGATCCGTTAGGTAAAAATGGCTGCGATGGACCATAATTTTTGACAAAATTATGATGCCGCTTTTGGTGGCCATAAAATTCGTACAGGATAAGTAATTTTTGTCGATTGTTGTATTTTACAGCTATGCCAACAAGGCGAAGATGGCCATATTAATTTGTAGGGTATTTTATAGGCATATGCTGAAGCACTTGTGCGCGCTAATCTTTAACGTGGAACACGTAAAATAGTTAATGTATAGTGGGTTTTTTGTATTCAGTACTGCATGGTTGCGTTGATCTGAATCGTATTTGTCGTTTCGGGCACGACATGACAACATCCCTGGCAGCATGACCGGCTGAAATCACAACCAAATTAGCTATTTTAGGTCCCACTTTTAGCCATCGGACGACAGTCCTTTGTCATGGGCATATGTAACTTCGCAGACACTTCACCGACTCGAAGCATCATATTCAGCTATAGTAGTTTTCTTTGTCGATGCCAACGTAAATATGTAGCGTATCTCTTTTAACGTTCTATGCCTACTTTTGCTCGAACAGACAATGGATTCCCTAGCAGATCCCCAACTCGGAAGCTAGCGTAGGGTGTGCGGAAGCATGAAATCCTTCTCCGTGGCGTTCTGCCGCATTCGATTCCATGAAGAAAGGTATCTCTCTGACTTTGAGAACAATCAAACGCGATTCCTACTATTATGATAACTCTTGACTAGTGTAGAAAGCTGGTGGGCTGACTGAGAGTGGGTCGAAATGACAACAGTGTAATCTCCGACAGATCTATAAATCGCCGTTCACTGAACCTACGCGTTGTGCGCCAAACGTGTAGAAAGCAAATATGGCTTTATCGATAGTGTTGCAAATTTCTATTGCTGCAAATTGACAAATCACAACAAGGATTCTTTAGTCCCACATTTTTGCTAGCGCTCTTGCAGTCGTACCCTCTCGTAGCGTCATCAACAGTGTTTCGTCTGCGTGGCAGCTGAGGGATGAGACGCCAATTTGGATATATCGAAACGATTAACTTCATGGCTCTACCCTCTGTACCGCACGAAAGATCATGTTATACATAGCGATAACGGTTCTGCAATATCAATAACAACGGGGTATAAGGGCAGTATACTACCAAAGGAACAGCACTTTTATCTGGCACATAATAGCAGGACTCGTACTGATGTAACGGTGGGTTCATCTGCAAACAACAACGTATTGGGCTGGCAACAAACACCTGCTTAATAATCTTTGTCTTGGTTTTGGACCCTGAACGTCGAATGTTCGTTACACTATGCGCGCTAAAGAGAACGCCTCCTCCGTCTGTTTTTCTAATTAAAGGAAGTGTACAACAACTGCAAGATTCGTCTTGGTAAATGTCACCGCTAAAAGTGGGCTGATAATATAAAACGATAAGTCTAAGTTGGCCGATACCGGTGCGTTACTAGGCTGAATATTACCTACCTGTTGGATACCGAAAACAATCGAGTGGGCTAAAAGCCATGTGACGTTGTAATACATGTGATTGTTCTTAATCTATTGTAATATATTTATGTAAGGATTTCTGCATGTTTACTCATGCCGATTGAACACGCCAACAATATCTAGACGACTTCTACGGCGTCAGAGCTGCGCGTTTCGTCACCACAAGATTGAACTATTGGATCATGTAGATGATAATCACTTCGACATTTTTCTGCAAGCTGCTGATGGATTTTTCACTGTTGGGTTGCGGATAAATTTTCTTTTATAATGCTTACGCCAAGGTTCTGCAATGGAGAACTTTGCGTGTATGATTAGTTGTTCAACTGAACGGTTGATTTTAGTCGTCAGTCATAGCGGGCATATTTAAAAGAAAGGAAGCACATTCCAATAGCAAAGAGTTTGGTATCGCTTTATCTTGATGGAGTGTTATGCCTACTTCAGCTCCCGGCCCGACATCGGAGATCGCGTGGTGCAGGCCACGAACGACATTTTTAAAATTTTAGCTAAATGCATGTCTTTTACACGAGGCTTCCCTTAGGACATCTGTTAGTAACCTGTTTACTAAATTTTATCTTGTACTTCATTTATAGTCAGTAGGCAGCCTTTCGCCTGTAACGCCGCCTCCACGACATCGTTATATTTCTCCGGAACGAAGAGCTGGCGTCAGGAATAAAGGGGCTGGTTCGACTCCGCCGTCGAACAGCGGTACCCCGACACCTGCAAAGGCCGTTTTCATCCTTCAGAAATCGGAAAGCCGCGAAAGTGTTCACATTGACGTCAGCATCGTCAACGATGACGGGCTCTGCAACACGAGCACCAACGAGGACGAAGGCGGCAGCAACAGCAATCGCAACAACACGCTGGCCAGTATCGGGTACGTTTGACGACCGTAGAGTCGTATTTAAGATTATTGGACTATTATTACCGCCTAAATCAAATCATCAGTTTATATTAATAATATGTTTCCATGTGGCGTTTATTTTTGATAAGCAGCTCTCAGGTAATGAGCACCACGACGCTTCCAATCATTCGAAGTGCGGAAGTTTGCGACGACGAAACCCACAACCAAAAAATAGCGCTAGACCATTTCAAATTTGCGAGGACACGAAGCATGCGGGGTCCTAAAGGCTTACGCATCTCGAAAGTGTACCATCAAGGAAGAGAAGCCGATACTACAGCTGCCCTTACGTTCTCATCAGAAGATGAGGGTACTTTGGCCTTTCTATAATTTCTTATTCTCTTTTTGGGAAAATCGGAATACTATGATGTATGCGGGTATCCTGAATGTAGAAGCATTAATTATTTTGTGAGCTCAAAGTTATGTAATAATTATAACAGTCCGCTAGCTTTGTCTTTTTATTTTATTTTTTTTAATTAATGTTCACTTTGTTACATTCTCTCGCCTCTCTTCTATACTATCCAGCCATCAGTCCATTTAGGAGTACTATATATATATATATATGTATATATATAGATTTTTGTGTATCTGAAGTTGTTGCTTTATTATTTTATTTAATCACGTTCGTTAGTACACTCATATGCTTGTGATTATAGGAAAAGGTAATTCCGATCAATCAGAATCGCCTCCGCCCTTGCCACCGCGGCGACACAGGTCTCGGCCAGGTACTGCGATGTCATCGTATCGGGCTGGAGGTGGTCACCAGAGCACGCTGGATACCAACTCGATTTCTTCAGAAGAATCCTTTCCTTCTATTCCCTGTCTACTGGCGACCGACCTGCATCGTTTGCGGGTGACAGGTGATGTGGTTCCGCCCGTGGTTCCACCCAAGAGCCCACTTATAACCCGCATTGAAGTGACAGGAGAGCCCGTCAAGCCCACTGTGATATCGACTGAGGGCGTTGACAATAGTCGCCATCATGTTCGAAGTCGCTCGGAAGTAATCTGCGGCAGTGAAGAAGCGAAAATTGTCGCTGCCAAGATAAGTGCAGTCCGACTGCCGCCTGTTATTAAGAAGAACACTCGCACTAAGAGCTCGGACAACATTATCCGCAAAAATAGGCCTCAAGCTACGAAGAGCGAATCCAGTGACTCGGTTGACGAGGGTATGCATTTTAGCGATAATCTATTTAGTGGATGCTAATAGAACTTGATAATATTCGTTATAGCCTATGGATAACATATTACGTCCTTAAAAGGTCAATCTTTCTTTCTCTCTATATTAGAAAACCTAGAACTAGTAAGCTTTCCCCAATCACTTCTTTTTTCTTCTGTTAGTTTGTGTAGACAATGATTCTAACATTTGTTCATTTCGCTTTACGATTCGTTGGCTCGGTGTTTATTACAGGCATAGTCCTATCTACTCCGACGAAGGCTAGAAGTCACTCGGCCGGTCGGACAAGGAAGCTATCTGAAGAGATCGAAAGCTACAATGTATATAACGTCCGCACCGGCAAAATTACGACGAGCCTTCAGAAACCTGTGTCGTCCACGACTAGTGCAGTACCATCGGGAGCCACCGATACCTCCACGCTTACTAAACGTGCTGAGCGGCATCAGAATTGTAAAAAATGCATTCACGCCACCAAGAGCTAATCACTGGTAATGGGCTAGTCAGCTTGGTGGTTTCTCCGAACATGCAGAGAGAAAACGGAAATGCAACATCATTTCAGAACCGGAAGTAACCGCACCGGAAGGAGATGGCGTGGGAAAAAACAAACAGTCCAGCCCAGTGGGCGCGAACAGCAATAGAGAAGGACGGGAACTTGCGTTCAAAGCGACCATGGTATGCGGATTTTCAACTCCAGCAAAAGGAAACGAGATCGTAGGCTGAGCGAGCCGATGACGGAAAACGCATGATGATTATTTGGAGCAATGGCACCAAATGAATCTTTATTAGCAAATGTTGCGTCGCTCACGGGAGCTGCTAATAAGAAAAGAGTAATTGTTTCTGCAGTTGTCATGATTCTGTTTTTAAACAGATTAAAGAAACGCTAGTAGAAAGACAGAATAGTGATTCCAAACGAGCAAAAAAATAATGAGATATGGGAAAAACATCGGATTGGTGCGGATCCTGCTCTGGCAGGAGATGACGTGCAATAGCCGAAGTCGCAATTGTTGTTTGTTTCCTCATATACAAATAACACAGTATATACATATATACTATGTTATATATATATATATATATATATATATATATATATATATATAAAGTTGATTTTAACTCATCGAAACAGCTGGTGAATCTTGAAGGAACCGTGAACGCGAGCAGCAACGCAAAGGAGATTTAGAGTGTGAACCAGCGGACGACACGACGATGATACGCAAATGCAATATTCTTGGAAAATTTGTAAATGTGTTAGTGCACGCATAGAGAATAACGGCGGCTGGTACAAAAAGGGAAAAGAAAAAAAAGCCACGAATGAAATGAATATGTACAGATTTTCAGTGACGGCGGTCATGGTAATGAGAGAAACATGGTGGGACAATAGATGTTATTCCTGGTCAAATATTCGTGTGGTAAGTACAAGCTTGCGCCGTTCTTATTGTGTTGCTATTTTTCAGCTTGTGACTCCAAGTACCTACCTGTGCAATTGCTCTTTCAAGGATAGGTAGACTATAAAAATGCTAGTTTGTTAGACCCAACCGCTCTGCGTGCAAGCCTGAACTTTACTCGCGTAATGTCTTCAAGCGGCTTTCATAGCAGCGTTCGTTGTAAGCATAGAAAGGAATAAATATGACTAACTTCAGTATGCACAAAGTTTACTTACTTTTTTTGATTCTGCTTTTTTTTTTTTTTATTAACAGGGCAAGTATTGCACTATTATCTTTACTTCCACCGTACACGGCAGGCATACGTTACTGAAAAAAAATTAGGTAACGGGAAGGGTCAGTTTAGCCTTAAACGAGTTACGATTTGTTAGACCAGAGTGGTAGAATTAGAAGAACTTGACTTATGGTATTTATATCTATATATATTTCCGAACAGATAGGTTCGCTCTGAATATAGTAGTGAAGACCACTGGTCCGAATTTCGTTACATAACATCTGATGAGGTCGAAACGAGATTTAATGGTGCCAGCCTGAGCATACAATACGTAATTTTTGCTATATAAATCACTCGCCGCTATTTCAAATGTGCCTTGTTTAACCTTATTGTGTCAGGACGTACTTAGTGCAAGGAAAATGCTTATGACATCTTAACTGCATGTGTAAGTGGTTCATCATTTTCGGTAGGAGTGAACTGTCGCTGAAGCTTCTATTTATTGCGCACGTAAACTTTTTTATTATTCTTTCTTTTAACACAAATCACGGTCATCAAGCGACACTTTTACAGTTTCCTTAACAAAACTGAATCCTAGAAGATTCGTTCACGTCAAGAGTATAGGTCTTCTCCACAATGGCCGTAATGTGAGCTACACGCACATCACCGTATAAGATAGCACAATAGGATGTCTGTATAGGTTTCTGTGCATGAGACGCCTTTTGCCGTTCATGCACCTGCTGAGTATATTCGTGTTTAGACTACCGCGTGGGCCGACGACTGTTTTACCCGATCCTTCAGTTCAACTTCCGGGTTACACACCGCCTCTGCTCTTTTTCAGTCAATACATTTATCACCACCACTTATCGGGCCACCATGCGCTGTGTCGTCGGTCTCATCCCAAGCATTAGAGATATACCATATGCACACGCGGTACTGCCCGTCCGTCTGCTCTTCCATCTCGGCTCTTCTTTGCTTAGGCAGTATAGCAGCTATAGCACCATCAGCCGTGGCAGTAACAGCACCTCAGAGATCATTTTCAATGTTGTTTCCAATAATCATCACTATCAACATCATTGCGCCAGCAGCAGCAGCAGCAGCAGTAGCGGCATCATCAGCACCATTACTTTAAATATCGGCACTGTCGCGCCAGCGCCTACCAACCTATCCCTTTTTCCTGCCTTTATCCCACTCCTTACCATATCCATTGCTTTTCACCCCTCACCCCCTCGAAACCTCCGTGTTTCCTCTTTTCTCTACCTTTTCCCAAACCTCTCTAAACAGATTCACTCTATTCTGCCTTGCTTTTCCTGTGCTTCACTGATGTTGGTCAGTTGATTCGTTTTGCTTGTTTCTATTAGGATCTTGCGTTGACTTCTTCTTGCCACAGGGAGGAGCGCGATTCCAATGGAAAACCATGGCTTGTGGTGGTGGGTAAGAGGAAATTTGGTGAGATTAGAGACTGAAGAACGACGGGCAGATGAATAATCGTTTGCAGATCGATGGCTGGGCTCGGCGGATGCGAAGCGCTGGCGTGCCAGCCTGCGCACGTCGTCGGCCACTGGTCAGGCAGCAGCCTAGCTGCCTTGTACAGTAGCAAGCGGCGGAAGGAAAAACAGCATCAGGCGAATCGGGAGCACAAATCGGGATAAGAAGGCAGGAGAATAGCTAGAGCATGCGGAACTCGGAGCTGAAAAGCGTCGGGGAGGGCAACAATATTGACTGCGACAACGATGACGACAAGGAGAATCGCGGAAGGCGCCATTTTCTTATTCGTCCTTCGACGGCTCAAACCAACAGGCTTTGTCTTGCCTGGCCGCACGCGACTTCCCACCTATTGGTCCTGTGGAGTTGCCAGTACACAGTGAAAACAAGCAGTGATATTGCTAGCAATAAGGAAAACCAAGACGGCAGCAACGGCAGCAGCAATACAGACACATGCAACGTGCAATGATGCGAAAAATTGTGGACAGTACGCTATACCGTTCATTCACGGTAGGCGGTATAGAGTAGACCTACGCTTGCCAACGATGAAGGGTACGACGAAACCTACCGTAGACGAGTTTGTAGGGTACCCTAGATATTTGTTGCAGTTGCCATCATAAAGAAATAGGTATATGAGGGATGCGTAATTTGTCAAGTGGCATAATAGTATTGCAGAAATACGTTTATGTAAAAAATCTCGATTTAAAGTTTATCATTAAAGATCGAACACAATAATGATAGGTTCAAATATGGTTTGAAGTTTTTAAAAATAATTTGGTCATAAACTTCCATTATTCAAAAAGCATAATAGCTCATTAGAAGGGTGTTTTTTTTTCCTTTTTTCCATACATGTTAGTTACTTCGTTAGTTTCTTGGAAAAGGTTATTTGAACAGCTGAATAGGCTGGGTGGGCGTCGGGATATATTAAATAACATGGCGTCGGGTCATGATAAAAAAAATTCGATGAATGACTACTGCCTAGGCGATGCCTTTGAAAAATAATGAATTTTCACACCACAGCAGTATTGGTTAATGTATTTGCCCATATATGTTGAAAAAAGCATGTAACGAAGTATACTTAAGGGGTGCAATATAAACGGATCGATAACAATGCTATTAAATGCCTCCGTTTCTTTTGAACAACAATAGTAATCAAAATGATAGTTTTTTTAACATCTTGTCGGCTAATTCGGAGATAAAAAAGCTGTTTCCGATCACGAATATTCTATGTGTATGTGGTGTATGTGGTAAGGCGCCATCTGACAGCAGCGAAGTATTTAAAGCTGTGATATAATGCCCACGATCATTTTCGTTCTGTGTTGGCTTGGGTAAGTTAGAGTACTCATTGCACATAATTGCCAAGTAAGGCATAACTACTTGACATATAATTACACAAAATAGTAATAATGACGTGACTTTGTTAAATTGCACTTTTTTATATTCTGCAAACTTCAAGTTGGATTTTCGTTGTGTTGAGGAAAAGTCGTTATCAAAAATATTAGATCATGGCCGGTATAAACTTGCGACGATGAAATTTCGCCTGCTTTTAATATCAGGGGGTAATGTTAACATTGCTACCCAATCAGCCGGCAAGCAAACATCCAACAAGCGGTAAAATTTTCGATAACAGATTTACCTATCGCAACAAATGTGAGACATTGTTTTATTCTTAAGCAGCATCAATCGCTCGGTCTCTATGTATAAACTACGTAGGGCTTTGAACTGAATTCACCTGACAAGGGATACAGAACACAGTGTGCGTTTCGTTGACAGGAACCGAACTCTTTTGCTTAGAATGGCCATCATTCGAAGTAATGTCAAAGCCCAAAAGGAAGCAATACTAAAAACATAAAGACCAGGCCAGTGAAAGAGTTTTTTTTCAAAAGGGACATGAATTTCTGCGATCACAATCGATTATTTTAAGGGCCTTGCTGGCCTAAAGCTAGACAAATGTTTCTCGATTTAAAATTAGGCAAGAAAATATCCGCTACAATTAAACCAACTGCTCCGAGAGCAGACCTACAAGGGGATTAATTACTCGAAGATGTATAACATGAGCTTCCTCTATTATGTTTGATAAATAAGTTTTTTTTTATTGTGTACTCATTGACGATGAAAGTTTTTCTGAAATTATTGTGAAAGTACTATACTAAATAAAAATGTTTTCCTCCTGGGTAAGTTTGCACACGTGTTTTTCCTTTCTGACGTCTATATTTTACCTATATTATATTCTTAGCAGATGTTGCCGTTCACCTCTAAGCTCATTCGTTTCTTAGCATTGCAGTTAGCATTTGGGCGCAGGGTGAGTCCCGGAAGAAATCAAGCGTTTGCTGCGAAAGTGTATGTTCCTCATCGAACGCCAGCAGGGTGTAGAAGTATAGTTTACGCCAATAGGAAATGCATCTTTACCAATTTGACATCGGTGTTCCTTGAAGGTCCCGATACCCGCAAGTAGTCGGGTTTGCGGGTACGTCACCGACCTGTGTCCGTATTACGTGCCTAAATAAAAGAGTAGGATTTCGTCAAAATCCAGGATGTCCTAGTTAGTCCGAAGTCTTCTGTTGCGGGCATTTCTTTATGGTTCTTTCGCGGGCGGTTTCCTTCGGCGTGGTCGGCTTAGTTGGTCGTTCGACGATACGGAGGTTCGATGAAATCTGTTACGTTAGGGCTTGCGCGGAAACCGTGGCCGCGGTGCGATCTTTTTTGAGATGCTCAAAATCATTGGGCAATACATTCTGTCCAAAAGCTTACGAGTCTATGTGACTTACCAGACTGGAGCGGCGTATAATATGAAGTTATTAAGCATGGACGCCAGAAAGCGTTTTTTGCTGTCTAAGTTTCGCTCAGCCCGTGAGAGCAGATGTCGAAACGAGCCGCTTCAGCGTGTGGTCGACATGCGATGTGCCAGTCAGTTCCTGTAGGTACTTCGCCTCTCTGGCTAGCTCAATACAATAGTCCATCCGATATGTAACCTCGGCGATGCTTTGTCTATTCAGCAGCATCGCTTCTGTTTTACTCGGCGCCAGGCTCAGTTCCTGGGGCCCTAGCCAATACAAAATACCTGCGAAGGCCGCTTTTGCCACTCGTTTCAATTGATATGATATTAATATTGTTTCAGGTATAACCTTATTATATTTCGTAGATACGGTAAGATGTCACCAAGTTGAACTTTTGGTGTATTGGGAGTGGTTTTGGTGGGGTTTAGAGTTCGTTTGGATTTGGTCGGTGAACTCTGGTAGGATTGGGAAGCACTGTCGTTGAGATCATTTTACCCTTCTTATAACTCCAGGATTTTTTTAATAGCAATCTGCGAGAAATGAATTGTCCTAAAGTCATCCTAGTCGTCAGACGATCGACTTTTTTTGCTGGCCTGCGGTTGATTATGCGCGGCCTTCGATAGCACGGTCAGCATATTTATTGGCCTGTAACCTGGCAGGTCTCCACGATGGTTTTTCTAGCCTTCTAATATCGACGAAGCGTATAGCTTTCTAGATTGCTCGAAACTCTCTTGTTCAAAGCATTTCGGCTGTCATCGGT